AGAACAGAGACGGAATTTACTCACTTTGCCCATCTGTCGGCTACTTTGCCTTTACGTTTATTGACCAATCCTAATCTAGATAAACAATACACGTCGTCTGATAAAGCAGAGACAAGATCGAAGAGGTGTAGAAACATATCTCTTGGGGACATAGGTTGATGGGAAAGAAGGTCGGCTATGGGATGAAGGGGGTTAAGAAGGAGAAGACATTTTCTGTGAGATCAGCAAGAAAATTAAGTATCTCAACCGGCTTTTTCGGCTTCAGGTATCAAACTTCTTCCGGCGGGAAGAAGGCGAACGTTATGTGTGAGATCAGAGGTGGAGTATTGAGAGTTGAATATCTTATGGGGATCACAGCACGGGGTGTTCGATGAATGGTATATTGAGATTTGTGGTGAAGGGACACGAGGGGAATGGTGAAGGGGCACAAGGGGAATGGGGAAGGGTGAAGGGGGAGAGATGAGAGTATTTTACCTAGTGAGAGACAATCCTGAAACTGCTATTCTCAATCGTTTGGAATGAGATTTGAACCACGGTCTGAGTGGACGGATGGTAGCTATCAGACCTAGGATGTATAGGTAGGTACGGAGTGAATATTGTAGGCATTTCTATCATGTCAGCTATGAGGTTTCCATCATATCTCAGTATCTCTAGGAGCGTCCCATCTCCAAGATCGAGAGCTATCAAGTTGACAAAGAGTAGAAGACCATCAGGTCATACAAAGAGAGTTAGAAGATCCACTCACCAAAACTTTATCTCTACCTTTACTACTATCCATAACCCTCGCCCATATCTCTACCACTAAACTCCCATTCTCATCCCTCTCATCCCTCTTGATATCCTTCTTCTTCTCCTTGTATATATCTTTCCCCTTTCCTACACCTCCAGTTAATCCCAAACCTCCCGCACCTCCCAAACCTCCCGCACCTCCCGAACCTTCCAAACCTCCCGAGGTCATGTGAGAACCTACTACAACTTCTGCAAAACGTTCCGGAGGTTCCCATTCCGGTTGTCGAGCTTGTTCAACACTACGTATTCCCCAACCACTCTGAATAGAACTGATACTGTCCGTCATGACCACATGTCTTTGAGGTCTGGGATGTTGTAGTGCCGTTACCCAAGGGTTAGTCTGATCGCGGAGTTGGACTGGGGAAGGTGGTCGGGTGGAATGAACGGGGTGAGAACGTGGTGGGTAAGAAGAGGCACGTAAGTGTGGAACAGGGTGGGGGTCTTCCAAATTGAGTAAGGAAAGACTGGGAGAGGCGGTGATTGACATGGAGAGAGGTCGTTTAGCTTGTGTTCACTATGTATATAGGTAGTAGTAGTTGGTATGAGGGGATGGGGAGAAGGTTGGGAAGGAAAAGAAGAAAGAAAACGCGTCCGAGTTTCAACTTTGATGTTTCATTCCTTACTTTGACTTTTCTACATATATAAGTACAACTCACACGATATCGGTCAAGGACAGGACATCGGACAAGAATAAATAGAAGGTATCAGAAAGTTGGAGGAGAAAGAGGGAGGAATTACTTCGATATGTCGTCGTCTTCACGATTGAATGGAGCTCTGTCACCACCTTTACCTGGTTCTAGATCAGGTGCTTCTTCTCCTCCTCGGACAAAGTGAGTGATCATGACTCTGCTTCACTATCTTCTCTCTCCTATCTGTCTTTACTCGTTTTTTGCCCTATCCCGACCATGTTGGACAAAGCTACATGACGTTGTCATCACCCTGATACATCATCCCCTCGGTCTACTCTCCTTCCTCTCCATACATGGTCACAATCACATGGTTAAACGGGGCTGACGAGCTAGATTCCCGGCAGACTCACTGAGACCATACATGAAAACGGTCCGTCCCTTCTACCTTCACTTATCATCCCTCCTAGTCACTCGCTCGTTCATACGGCTCTTTCGCTTACCATTATCATTGAATGAACCAGAAAGGCTCGTGCTGAGATCCAGATTATTTCTAAATCTTTGACAGGTATGTCCGAGATCCTTGTAACTCCCATACATCAAGACTCCACTACTATTTTTCTGTCATGCACAGCAAACACATCATCGCTACAATATCTCAAAGACGACCATCAGACCAGGAGAAATGTTCATCTCGCCCTATTGAACGCACCGCCGAACGGCGAATCCTGGCTGTGGTTATCGGCTCATATACAGGTGCTTTCTGGGATAATACAGACAAACCTCGGATGGCTTCCTACAGCAAAGATATATCGGAAGTGAGTTTCTTTCTCCTCTGATATAGTAGTGGTCAAGGTTGACGGGAAGAGGGTCAAACAACGTATGATGGAGATTGAACCGAGAGGGTTTAAATATGTCGTCACCACAACTTTGTCGGAGAATCTTGGACAGGCCGGGAGGTGAGTATTTCTTATCCCCTACTCTCTTCAAAGCTCCTTGTTTTCTTTCGGAAACTAACCTATCTTCAACCTAGAAGTAATACGTTTGCTTGATGACATATCACATACCTGATTGTCAGAGAGGAGTGTGCTGACTTTCAGAGCGGACATGTCATGTCATTGGGAAGATACCGACGTTGCAGTTCAGGAAATGTACAGTAATGATTCTATAATATTTGTGTGTGTGGCATTGGCTATCCGGGTGGTGTGAATTCATATGCATCACGTCATCTCGTCTTTCCGCTTCTCTCACATAGGAGAATGGGAGATACTCCTTAATCATTATGACACGTGATCCTCACATACTAACTCTGTGATCTGAATAGAAAATCTTATGAACTTCTAGCCCTGTTTGGTTGATGCAGATTGACTTCTCTCACTAGACCCCTAGAACTTTCATCAAACTTCTTCTCGCCAGCTTCGGGACCTGGCCGGCGGTATTGATTGTCGTAGCCCCAACTTGAGCCGCATTATTGACCATATACTCGGTTCCGGTCTTTGAGCCAACTCTTCAGCAAATCTGATTAATTTTTCCGACCTTTGCAGGCATGTTTCGACCATGTTATTTCCGCTGGCTACTTCCTCTATGATCACATCATTTTCAGAACCAACCGTTTCCACTTGGACAATAGACATTTCAGTATCATTCCTTATGACAGTTTGTCTTTCACCAGAACTTGTGGCACCTGTAGAATGTTGCCAATCTGGACAGAGGACAAAAGAATAATAAGCTAATTCTCTCATCATCCCCCTTTCTTTAGGTAGACGATGATCATCCGGTAAGATCCCCACAGACCATTTCGATCTTATAATTGTATTTCCCTGCTCCAACATGTCACTCTCCACCTCCTCTGTAGCCGATCTCACAATCTCCAACCACATCTGATCGGCAATTCTCCCCTTCTCTCCGCTCAAAGTAGTTTCTGGTGATTGGTCAAACAGAAAACTTCTAAGCTCTTCTACCTGTAATGACGCTTTTTGCATTATCCATCTGAGTTTCCAATCTGTTGCATGTTCTGTTCCCTGTTTGGGTGGGAATGCTAAATAAAGAGTCTTCTTGTCCACCCATGCGCACACTTGTCTTTCTCCTGTATCCCATGGCTGAGAAGCTCACCCTGGTTCTGCATTGTCATGTTCAGGGAATGTCAAGAGCTCAGGTGGGATAGCTTGGGGTGGGGAGAGAAGGATCGAACTGGGCTGTTTTGCGGTCCTTGAGTGTAATGATCCTGCTTGTGAGGATCACCACAAATAAATAAATGTAACCTACCCGTAGGGCTGGATACTGTCGGAACTCTGTGATGTGAATAATACTAGTCAACAATGGATCAAAGGTCAGTAATGGTCAGTAAAGAGTGTATCAAGGAAACTGAAGAGGGTCTGAGAGAGGATGGAGGAAAAAGGAGGAGAAGAAGGAGGGAGAAGAAGAAGTGAGAAGAAAGACAATGGAGGAAGAGATCCCCCTCAGACCCAGCTTATATACATGATTGGGGTTCCGTAGTACGGAACAGCTACGTGGAATTATACGGGTTCGTGGTTTAATACGGGCAAGGAAGCGACTCAAGATGAGTAGAGTCTTACTACGGACAGGTCATTTGCTAAGAGTCGCCTCCAACTACGGACAGAGGTCGTAACTACTAGATAGACGAGACAGATACAAGAGAAGTATGGAAGGTGTATACTACTACTCATGTAGGTTCACTACATTGAGGGTGTTTGTGATGGCTGTGAGGGAGTGCCGGAGTACTCCAGAGAGAGATCAGAAGGTACTGTGGTCATGTGGCTTCCTTGACCTACCATGTGAATGGGTTTCAAGGTGTGAAGAAGTTGTATCAGAAGTGCACAGACAGTAAATGCAGAGAGATGTTCGGAACGTAGGTGAAACGTGCAATAAACCTGTTCAGAAGGATGTTAGTGGTCTGGAAAGAAGAAGGATAAGTTGGGGTGGAGTTGGAATCTGGGTCACAATCTCCTTTGTATCATGAAACAGAAAGGAGAAGATAGATGGATTTCAAGTCTGAAGTGTTGGCCGGTGCGCGCACGGAGTGCAGATAATCACAGTTGTGATGATACGAGTTCATGTGATTTCTCATCCTGATCAAGTAGTTGATCAATGGACAATAAGTCAACTGATGTACATATATTTCATCATCATCATCAACTATAGGAGACATGTGTGAAATCCGTGATATATTTCAGTAACAGGACGTGGTACTCTCGACCAGAGTACTATCATCGTCCCCATCTTCACTTCCTGAGCTTTCCGTTGAGCCGGAGTCGTTGGTCCCAAGTTCCTCCTGATTTTCGCCATGTACATTGTTATGAACAGAGCGTATTGGCCCATCGTAATTGGTCAAGACAGCATACCGAAGACCAGTGGATGGATCTATAACCCAGCATCGATAGTCCTTTATGATGACTGTAGTTGGTACCTCACCATAACGCAAAGCTTCACCCACTGGTTGAGGAACCCATCTCCTCACACTCTGATTTTCTTCTCCAGAATTACGGCGACCTTTGGTATTTAGACGTGAATCATATCGCCATTCTTTGACTCCTCCGAATTCTACCTTGCGGGTTCGGAGAGGTGTCTCTCGAACGTTATCTCCTGATTGGAGCTTTTAACTTTCTTCCTTGGCTATAAGTTGACGTAATCCTGCTTTTGTCGTGATGATGAGTGCCTCCAATAACTCATCGTTCGAGCTCTTCGAGCTCTTCGAGTTGTCCGAGTTGTTCGAGCTGCTGCAAACGTCTTCTTGTTTGCCAATACTCTCAGAACCATTCGGTACTTGTTCTCCAGTAACTAGAGACCTTGGATTGGATGCTGGTAGGCAGAAGTGTCCTGGAGGTATTGTACGGTAAAGTGTATGCTCTACACAACCAGATTCACTTGGTGCAGCTGGTAGCCTGTGCACCACATATGGTCTGAAGGAATTACTCACACCAGCTGCTTCACCTTGTTTCCTTCTTCCATCATTATCACGTTCTGTGGCCCAACACACTGATTCATACCATAATCTCCCAATCTCTCTGTCATCAAGGCTTTCATTACTAAGTTCGAACAAAGCTGTGATTCTCGAAGTGAAATCGTCGTATGCGGAATTGTAGATGCTTCCCAGCCGTTGAGCCCTTCCTAACACTTTACGGTCAGCTTTAAGTGCCACATACAAAGTTCCATCTTTGAACCATGTTTTGACCTCATGGTTTTTCCATTTTGGCGCTGAGGGCTTTGGCACTCCACTGATGTTTTCAATGAATGACCGAACAGACCTGACCATTGTGTCAATTATGGAACCTTCTGTAGTCCCGGACGTTTGGACAGGGGGTGGAATGGTGGTCATATTTCTGTTAGGGACACTGCCGGAGACATGCACCTCCAGAGCTGCACGGTTCAAAACACCCCCTTTGGACCCAGCCAGAGAACCATGCACCTCCAGAGGTGTCCGGACCCAGCCGGAGATTCTGATCCTAGTCATGCAGAAATATAATACCTTTTTTTAGTAAACCCAGATGACACCTCTTGGCATTGATAGTCTATGTTAGTAAGCTCTGGAAGTTGTGTGGGTATATAACTGCTTCAACAGTGGCTTCAAATTCAGCACAATCATCTCAAGATATTGGCCCAAGAGGCAAGAACTATTGGTGTTGAGGAACAAATTATTTTGGTCAAAGTGGAAGAGAAATTCATGCAGAACTACTGCTCACATGTAAGGGAGTTTAGATCATATGTTTCCCATACGCTATGTATGACATGCTCTTCCTCATCTCATGTGATGATGATTCTCCAGCTGAGCATGCTCTTCCTCATCTCATGTGATGATGATTCTCCAGCTGAGCATGTCAAAGGACTCAGACCACTCCGGAGTGGAACGTCTCTGGCTGGGAATGATGGGGTCCGTGCAGCTCCGGAGCTGTCCGTCTCCGGCGGTGTCCCTAACATTTCCATTCCTTAAAATTGAACGGGAAGGTCCATGAGTTCCCTTATGGGTGACATTTGGTATAATACTCATTTTAGCTTAATCTATAGTTGTAGTCATGTCAGTACGTCTTGAGTACCCTCAAAAATCTCGAAATTGCGTTGTTGGGAAACGATATGGAGGGGAGTTGAGAGATTATGGAGTTGGCTATTTATCATGAAGGACAAGTAGACACTGCATTGTCCCTCCATTCATCGAATGGCAGTACACAAGAAGATGCATTCATTGAATCAAGCCTGGACTGTTATACCCGAGATGGATGATCCGAGAAGTGAAGGGAGAAGGGGGAAGAAAGTCGGAGCTTCTTACGGATCTCATCCGATGCGCTCGGACCCACACGAAGTGAACCAACAATCAATGATACTTACACTCCTTGGATGATGGAGGGGAGAGTAGTCTTCAAGGACGTGAAGAACAAGGTACACAGGAAAAGGTACATCTATCTGATGCTGTCCATAACACAGCACCCTCTCGAAGGTCATGAGATTGACCAACGATCAGTGAGTGACTCGGCTCTTGTCTAGTGAATGAGATGACAGTTCATCCAATACAGCGAGAAATGCACCACCTTGTCACTAACAACTTGCTGATGCATTCACCTTAAACAAAACAATGTAATTAGGGTACTCTTGGTATCTCCCGTGGTGGCACCTATCTCCTTGCTCTCATGACGAAAATAATCTTCAGAGCGACGGATTTGGCTATCCGGTCACCTGTTTCCTGCTCAGCACTTTCTTAAGAGTGATGAGAAAGAAACAGGATAACATGATGGGTCTTAAGAACCTCGCTGAAAGAAAGTTTCGGTCACGTGAGCGATCTATAGGACTGCCGTTCCTACCTCCAACGCAGAGATGTTCCACCCCTGAGTGAAAGATTATTTGATGTAGTCAACTCCATTCACTCCACCCCGGAACACTTTTTTTTATCTTCCAACTACTCTGCGGTAGATGGGAGTCTGCCTGCTCCAAGTACTAGCATCAAGAGGTGATTTATGAGTCATTGGTAGACTTCAAGAAGTCAAAGACATCTGTCCACAGAACACTAGATCTTCTGAGCTCCCTTGTCATGCCCCTGATGTCTCATTGGTGGTAGAAATTTTCCAGTTTCGTGGCCGCCTCCTCCCCAATGGGCCAGGTCTCTTTGTACCTCTTGTCATTCCACCGAGAGTACAATCATCAGCATCATCGTCTAGAAGGTTTGAGCTGCCAGAATTTATGTTCATATCTTGTTCCGCAATAAACTCTTCTTCTCCCATAATGCTTGTGGAAGCTGATTTGCTTGGGGAAGGCAAACATGAGGGATTACTGCTTTTAAAGCCGGCGTCATTTCTGGTGTCATCATCATCATCAGAGCTTATGTGTGATTACTCGGTTTGTTGGCAAGAGCCTTCAGCCACAATCTCAGTCTCACCATCCTGATCCTTATCAGCAGACGTGTCCCTAGTTGGGAGCGTGATGAACTGAATGTTAGGTGCCGCACGGAAGACGTGCAGCTCTGAAGATGCACGGGTGGGATCGTGCCATCCTGAAGGCGTGACTCTTCAGACTGACACGGCCCAAAAGCCGTGCATCTCTGAAGCGGCACGGGTAGCTGCCACTTAGACTTTTTCCGTGATCTCGAGAACTTGTCAACACCTCCCTCTCTTCCTGAGAAACCACAGAGTTGCTTCATTGACCATGTCCATACCTGCCTCCGTGTTTAGCGCAGATTTTGAGAACGGCTTCCAGCAGTGGCTCATTGATCAGAGGTTCAATCATACGATATCAGATGAGGAGTACAACAATCAAAGATGGGTTCTTGTTCACCCGAATGAATCCCCACCATTCATCACGCCTCATAATTCATGATGACTCGTATTCGTCAGCAACACAAACTAAGCGAAGATGGGCAGGACATTCTCATGCAGCCACTTTCGACCGATACATGGTTCAAACTTGTTCCAGTCTCACAGGTACTAGCAAAGATCAAACATGTACACTGTAATGTGGTATCACATTCCGGACAAAACAAAACCCGTGCTGAGATAAGAGCCCATTATTGAGGAGTGGGTAAAAAGGAAGTCAAAGCAGTCATTGACGCTTGCAACATCTGCCAGTGGAGGTGAGTTCAGACTGTTTATCATAAGACTGAACATACTGGCAACTAACAAAAAAACCGGAACGCTTTCCCAGCCAAATTGGTTCCGCGCCGTTCCGGTTTTTATGTTAGGTGCAAGTATAGGGCTCGGAGCAAGGACAAAGGCGACCTGCAGCCCATCAAGTCCAATGACCCCTTTGAACGAATACAGATCGACTGAATTGACATGCGCTCTGATGAATGTAAAACTCGGGGTAAGAACTATCGCTGGATATGCCACATAAAGGATCATTTCTCCAAGTACTCAGAAGTCGTACGCTTTCCTTGAATCTTTGAGAACAAGGTAGGCTGACCTCTCAAGTACCCAATGAAACAGAAAACTGCACAGGAAGTTGAATACTGCCTGCTCCTATGGATCAACCACTTTGGCGCCCCAGATATCCTACAATCAGATAACGGACGTGAATTCTGCAACACCTTGATAACAAGCCTTGCTGAGGTATATGGCATGAAGATTAAGCATGGTTTACCTGGAACACCTCGTGTACAGGGGTTGGTAGAGCAGGCAAATGGTACAGTGAAAACCCGTCTTGCCAAATGGCGGCTTGAACATCCCGAACAACCGTGGTGAGTTTCAGTACACTGGGGATTGCATCTCATTGACCTGTAGGGTGGATGGCTTACCCCATGTTATTCGCTCAATCAATTTCACCCAACATAGCGCAACATTGTGCACGCCTCATGAAGCCGTCTTTGGGCGGAAACACCGAGAGATTCAGCTTTGGGCCACAGGTGAGAACCGTACTGTTGTTTATGAGGAGAGGAATGTGGAAGATGGAGTAGAAGATGAGGAGGATGATTTGTCAACGGAGGTGGTGTTCCGCTGGGAAAGTGGGCCAGACGTGGATCGAATCCCAACTATTGAAGAAGAGAACACGGCCAGTCAGCAAGCTGTGGGGCAGCAGACACACTCTTCTTTGACAGCGTCGCCGGAGGAAGCCATGTGGTGAGTATCTCCTGTGCTGTTTGTCTGGCCATCTAACATGGTAGAGTCACCAACCATGGCCACATTTCAGCAGCTGTTGGATCCAGCACTGAATTCCCAGCGTGACCAGCTTCATGTACAAATGCAAAAACGCCAGGAAGTTGTTCGAGAAAGGATGATTGCACGTTATGGCAATGATCATACCCATTTTCAATACGAGGTTGGTGATAAGGTCACTCTTGCGGTTCCAGCAATTGACCGTCCTGGGGCATCGGCTAGCCGTATTCCCTGTCTCGTCTGTGAGGTATTCTCTGCTCCAAATGAGCCTAAATCATACCGTCTACTTTGTCAAGCCGGGGTACTAGACAGGTTATACCGGAGCAAGGTCCTCAATCCAGCCGATCATTTCGAAATTCCAGATGCTGTCCACGTTGCTGTCCTACATTGGAAGAGAGAACCAGTAATTTCGCTGAAGGGTGCAGCAAGAAAGCTATTTGGTGAGCCTCTGATACTGTCCCCATTTGAGGCTAATTCTACAGGCCTCACCAAAATTGAAATTTGTTGTCACTGCAAGGGACAATGTGCTACAGTACAGTGTCAATGCAGGAAACGTGGTGTGAAGTGCTCGCTTTACTGTCATGGTGCAGAAAGAGAGTGTACGAATTTCTCACGTCTGACAGCGACTGAGAGAACATTTATCGATCTGAGCGATCCTGGGGCCAATGCTTCATCTCTCCCCAAGAAGAAAAAACAGAAGAGCAAGAAGCGACGTAGAAGAGAAACTCCGGCGAAATCAAGTTCAAGCGGTACGTGCACTCCTTAATTGTGACATGTTTTTGCTGATTGATGAGCTGAAGATGAGGATACTTCGATCACGGCTCCCTCCATTGAACATACTCCTCCAATCGAAAATGACAGTGACTCAAGCCATGTCACCGACTGGCCGGAGCACTTTTCTGAGTATGAAACATAAAGTGACAGAGAAGAACGTGATGTTCTTCCAGCATTTTGGCATGGCAAGAGCCCTTTGGAAGACTATAAGGATTATCTTCCAAAGAAGAGAGATGAATTATGGCTGGCGGAAAGCTGGGAGGCAGACGGTCACACCTGGACTTTGGACAGATCCATGCGCGCATTGTCGAGGAAGTACAAGACTTGGCTTTGGCGAGAAGTGATGTTGCGACATATGGCTCGGGGACGTCGTGGGGTAATGCAGAGGGGTTTTGGAGCAGAGCAGGCGCAATTGATGCTTCATGTGAAAGGTGTGATCCTAGCAAGAGAAGAGTTCAAAAGGAAGTACGGTTATCAATTGATAGGGGAAGGGGCTGATGATGGGGCCGATGATGATACGGTATAGCAAGCAATACTAGATTGAGCCATGCATCTTTGAAGCAGCACGGATTCACTCCGTGCATCTTCAGAGAGTCACGCTTCTTCAGTTCGGCACCTATCCATGTTTCAGAACCCGTGCATCTCTGAAGGGTCACGTCTTCCGCGCGGCACCTAACACTGAACCTTTCGCCGATGTGACGATGGGTGATTTACTTTTCTGCTTGGGTCATCAATGTTAGCCGATAGAATCGGGCCAGGACGGCCGAACCGCCGTTAGATAATTACCCCTTCCGTCGAATATTTCTCCGTTCAACTTATCCTCTGAACTTTATTCGATCGTTTCTGGTTTACTGCGTGTGAGTGGAATGTGATAAGTATAGAGACATGTAGAATTGATGCATGCTCTTTTTCCTCTCTGTATTACCATCTAATTATTAGCAAACAATCAACACTGGACACATCTCCACCACTCTGAGCCATGATTCTTGTGAGAGCAGAAGTACTTCCCGTAGATGTTGCATTATCACCCATCCGGGTTCCTTGGGTGATACCGCGCACCAGGGAGGGAGGCTCCGACAAGACCAAAGAAAGAATAGACACATTTGCTGCAAAGCCTCTGCAATAGTCTGTACGAGTTGGGTTTCGATACAATTCTGGTAATTTTTCTACACTCCATGTCACCCACTTGGGATCCCTCTTGCTGCCTTGTGTACTCTGTGTGACATCAGCATGCAACCCCTTCTCCACACGTGATTCTGTCTTACTATATTTTCCGGTGCATTTACCTCCATACCTGTTGGCTGTTCAGCTTCAATCCTCTCTTGTATCACAGTCTCTTCTCTTTTGGTGGCCTCTTGGATTCTCTTATACCATGTTTCCTCCAATCTACCCCACTTTCTGTGTGTGACCAGGTGTTCCAGATCACTCACTTCACCACTTGCTCTTTGCATGATGCTGGCCAGTTTTGGTGCACCAGCAATACACTCCTCAGCGGTAGGAGCTCCCAAGGCAGCATGAAGAATTCTTCCATATGACCATGTCAATACTACTACATTGTGTCCCCAAGGCATGCGGTAGGTAAGTGGTTCTTCATCTGTGTAAGGTTCACGGTATAACTTGCGGAAGAAATTGAGTATTCTGGTTCCAACTGTAGGACGGGAAGGCTTTAGTAGGATTGAAGGTAGCTTCGATGTCGGCGTTGAGGTTAATTGAGGCAATGACGTGGTTGATGAACCCGCTGGCATTGAGTCCCCGGGAGGTGGGGATTCCATGGACGCCATGATGTGTGATGCTTCCTACTTTCCGTCTTGTATTCAGATTGGGCGGGAGGACCATGAGATGTAGTTAAGAGAGAAGAACAGATCAAAACTGTGGGCAAGGATAGAGAGAGATGAGTCAGGTCTGAGAATAGCTGTAGAGCTTCATGGGAAAGAAGGGAGTCCAGGAAGAAAGGATCCGTGCGCTGCTTCTCCAGTCAGTCCACTTTCCGTTGGAATAGCTAGATCAAAGTGGCACCATGAATGGGGCACATAGCTCCCAGTGCCACTATGAGGACAGGTGAGATTTCGCACGGAAGGGACGCGCCGTCAAATGGCTTCCCTCACCACCACTTTTGGTGATTCCCTGCCTTGAAGCATATGAGGTTCTCACTGTAAGAATTGTACATAAGACTCGGACTGTTTTGTGACTCGGTGGTCTATTGCCCCACCCACAATCCCAATATGGACATGGCATACCAGCCGCAACAACGACTTTCAACCACACAAGTGATATGGTGTTCTCTGTGACACCATTCACCCTGCATCTTTGTGCCATATGGTCATCTGCTGAACATATATGTCTGCTTCCAATGATCTTAAGATGTCTTTGTTTGGGAGTGACCAATAAGACTGCCAACGCCTACTCCACAGAGGTATTCAGGCTCTGTTTGCGCTTTGTAGAGAAGTCCTGGGACTTAACAATAGAGAAGTGAAAACCTCCTTCATAACACATTTTGTACTTCTTCCTTTGGTCTCCATGGTTACCCTGAATCAAGAAGTCTCACACATGTCCGTGGGAATGTCCTCCTCCTTGAGCCGGATGTGCAGAGATACAAGCCGCTATAGAAGTCACAAATACCCCGCCTACATACGTAAGTTGAAAAGCTCTCTGGAGTTGTAATCGAACGATATAGTAATGCATAAAGACATGAACGAACGAACGAAGAGAAAAGTTTCAACACCCATAGCTTATTCAATCCCTCCAACACTCCCACCAAGCTATTGCTGTTGAACATAAACTACACAGGTACTCTCACTGCTAGCAGGAAATAGCGATAGACCGAGCATTTCTGTGAACCAAGCGAACAAAGTCGGTGATAGGGGTTTTGTGAGTCCATCAGCAAGCATTGCAGCAGTTTTGACATACTCAATGTTGATGATCAATCGTTCAACTAGTTCACGAAGATAATGAAACCGAATATCGATCTGTTTTGCTCGAGAGTGACCAATTGGATTTCGAGCGATGGCGATTGATGCTTGATTATCCCCATAGAGCTTGATTGCTTTCTTGGGAGCAAACCCAAGTTCTGACAAGAGCGAACGAAGCCACATTGCTTCTCGAGCGGCTTGAGCGAGTCCCACATATTCAGCATCTCCTGTTGCGAGAGCAACAGAAGGCTGAAGCTTTGACTGCCAACTAATGGTCCCACCCCAGAGTCGAAACACATAACCGCTTGTACATCGACGTCGGTATCGCTCGTGGCAAAATCTGCATCACTGAATCCATCCAGTTCGCTCCCACCGTTCGCATATCGTATACCGACCGTTCGGGTTTGTTTGAAATATTGTAAGACAGAGAGGACTGCTTCCCAATGAGTGATAGAGGGGTCGTTTGAAAACCGACCAAGCAAACCAACCACATATGCAAGGTCTGGTTGAGTTCCAAGCATGGCATACATGAGCGAACCAATAGCTGTCAAATATTGAGCTCGATTGGTTGTGGGTTCTTCAGGTAGGCGAGCATGTAGGATTGTCTTTTCTTTCATAGGTGTATCTTTCAGTTTGCAATCTTGCATGTCAAATCGTGTGAGGATGGTGTCAATGTATTGAGTTTGACATAGATCGAGCTGGCGCTTCGATCGATTGCGCTTGACTTGTAAACCGAGGATAAAGTGCAGCTCAGCAAGATCTTTCATGTCATATCGCTTTGACATTTCATTCTTGAAGAACTCGAGCGTGCTCGAGCGAGAGGCAGCAATGGTGAGGTCATCCACATACACTCCAACAATAATCAGATCATCAAACTGACCTCGAACATAAATCGAGTGATCGGACATTGTTCGAATGAACCCGAGTGAGCGAAGTGTTGAGTCAAGTTTGCGGTACCAAGCTCGAGGTGCCTGCTTGAGTCCATAGAGGGATTTGTCTAGCTTCCAGACCATCTTTTCATCTTGAGCGAACCCTTCCGGCTGTTCCATGTAGACTACTTCATCGAGCGAACCATAGAGGAAGGCAGTTTTTACATCCATCTGATGAAGTTCGAGATCGTGCATAGCAGCAAGTGCAAGGATTGTTCGAATGGATTGAAACTTGGCAACAGGAGCAAATGTCTCATCATAATCAATACCTGGTTGTTGGGTAAAACCTCGAGCGACTAGTCGAGCCTTGAACCGATCGATGTCACCATTGGCAAATCTCTTGACCCTAAAAACCCATTTGCAAGTTACAATCCTGCCTTGAGCGGCCGAGCGAGGTACTAGGTGATAGACACCTGCCTTTTCTAGAGACTTCATCTCGTCCTGAGCTGCTATTTTCCACTGCATTGAATCGCTCGATCGAATTGCTTCATTCCATGAGTGAGGTTCATCGATCAAGATGTGAGCTGCAAAGGCAGTGAGCGAGTATGCTGAGAGGGGATTTGGCCATTGAGGGAGTCGAGCGTCCGAAGGGGAGAAGTCTTGTTCACCTGGTCGACCAAGAAAATCGTTCAGCTCGATTTCATACTCTGGGTACTGGGAGATAAGACCAAACGTTCGACCTGAGCGAGTTTGCATTCGTTCTGGTTGTTGTTCCTCCAGCTCAGGTGAGGGAGCATGCTCTCGAGCAAAGCGAGGATCTTCCTCATATTGCCATCCTGGATATCGAACGAGTTCGTTCGATTGATCCTGATTGTCCTGCTCTACTTCGTTTTGCCCTTCATTTCCCTGTCCTCCTGCTCCCACCAGTTCTTCATCCCCCACCCCTTCTCCATCTCCCACCACTTCTTCATCTCCCACCACTTCTCCATCTCCCACCACTTCAAACGCATTGACCGGGGTCGAGATGCTCGAATTATTCGTTTGAGAAGTGGGTGTGAGTTCGATCGATCTAGTTCTGGCACCAAGCTGTGTGTCCAGTAGAAAGAGCTTATTCAACTCAGCGAGCGAAGAAGATGAGCGAAGCATTCTCTGCGGTGAGATAGATATATCAAAGATGACATCGCGCGAGATGATCACCTTTCGAGCGAGTGGATCCCAGAGTCTGTACGCCTTCTGAGTAAGAGCATACCCAAGGAGTGTCACGGCCGTCGAACAACTACTTCTTAATAGACCGACGGTCGACGAACCTCGGCTAACTTCACGCTCTGAGTCGATGTCTCACCCAACCAGGAGGGCGCAGACGTCGAAAGGGGTGTAACTACGGCGTACTTCGGCGTAGTTACTCTAACTAGGGTTTTGATCTACTGATGGCGATGTATCTTGATTTATAGCTATCTCTATCTGTCTTTTACTACTGACAACAATCAAGGATCGCTGAAGAACTTCAGCGATCTTCTCAGCTAATATCATCTACTCCTCCTAGACGTTCATCCAACCCTCTCGCGCTTTGACGTACTTCAACGCACTTCGTCCAACTTCCCCGAGCCCTCGGCCATCCTCTTCCTCCTTCGACTAACTCCGCCTAACATCGCCGCACTTCTGCTCCCATTGTCCCTACTTAGACTAACTCCGCCTAACATCGCCGCACTTCTGCTCCCATTGTCCCTACTTAGCCTAACTCCGTCTAACTTCGCCGTACTTCTGCTCCCATTGTCCCTACCTAGCCTAACTCCGTCTAACTTCGCCGTACTTCTGCTCCCATTGTCCCTACCTAGCCTAACTCCGTCTAACTTCGCCGTACTTGGTCTCAGAAGTCCTGAGTTACGTGTAGAGTAAAGAGGTTAAGACGTGATGGGGGTTTTGATGGTCAAAGGAGGGTCATTGTTGGTGGAATAATCGAGGTGTCACGACGTAGTTCGTGACAGTCGCCCCCTTCTTTAGCCGCGAACGTCCTCGTGAGCGATTACACCTCTGTCGTGTCAAGAGAACTTAGCAGCGTAGTACCCCCATTCTCTCCCTCCCCATGACCATCTTTCACCCTTCTGCTCTTTGCGCCGCACTTCGTAGTTGGGCCTCCTTTCACTCCAAAACCCGACAATGAGACTCCCCTAACTTCGTCGAGGTTTGCCGTAAGAAGCCCTGTGTCTTTTGTAGGTGAGACACGCTTCCTGAATGGCAGCCGAACAACACCGTTGTTTATCGAAGTAACCCTCGCTTATATTGAGATGAGACACTATAGCGTGGGAATTTTGATCGTCCCTGCGATGCCTTTTGTTGATGAAACGCGAAGTTTGCCGCATGTTGACGACGAGGGTTTAGGTTTGATTATACTAAATACTGAGCAGTTCGCCGAGCTTCTCTCTTTTTCCCATCTGCTTTCAAAACTTTCTATCTCTCTTACCTAGAAAACAGATTTGTTACCTTGAATCATCTTTTATTTCTTTAAGTATTTTTAACGTCATGGCCCCTCCTACTCCCACCTCTAACCCTTTCGCCGCCATGAGGAACTTTGGTGGTATGGTGTCGTCTGCTCGTGAGTTATTCCTCGACACTTACCTTACTTCGCCGGACTTGGCTGATGTTCAGTTTCCTTCGGCGACAGATCTCGCCAAGTCTCCTCCCTCGGCCTCGGCACCCTCTCTTTGGGGGAGCCGTCTGGCGATGTCCCGCCTCCTCGCTCCGCTTCTCCTCCCGTCGGTCCTCCCGCTGGTTCTCCCTCTGCTTCTCCTCCTCCTGGTTCTCGCTCTGCTTCCCCTCCTGCCGCCAGCCCTCGCCGCAGGACGCCCGCCTTTCGTCCTGGTGAGTCTCCGTCCTCCTCCGACCAGGAGTCGCTCAGTGGTTCGGAGTCGGACGATCAGTCAGACTTCGAAGGAAAAGGGGGTGATTATAGTGATGAGGATGATAGAATCGTGTCGGAGGGTGAAACCGAGTTAGAGGAACACT